GTGCCAATGAGAGAAACCTCTTAAAAAAAAAAAAAAAAAAAAAAAAAAGACCCACAGGGGTAGGGTAAGGGCCTCGGGGAGTGTACAGTCTGACTGGGAAGACAGACACAGACAGTTTTTAACATAGCATGGCTCCACCAGACTGGGCTCTCCCAGGTTCTCAGAAGCGAAAAGCCTCAAGGGAGACAAGGGTTAACAAAGTTACAGCAGATTAATATTTACAATAAAGTATCAGGAATATGGATACTTTCCTAGCTGTCAGGACTTTGTTTTCTGACAATCCTGGTGGTCCCCAATACTTTCTGTTTCTCTCTGTTATTCCAGGGGAAGCTCCCAGCCCCCACCACCTCTTGCTACAAAGAGATTATCATTCTACAAAATTTGGTGTAACTTTTTTCTACAAGATCTGTGGTGTTTTCACATCTTGCAGCTTATTTGGCCTTTCCCTTGTAGCACCTCCTGGAGGTATAGGAATCAGGGCCACCACTGGTACCCAGGTTCAGAGAGGTTTTGCAGTTTGCCCAAGGTCACCCAGTTGGAAGTTCAGAGCTCAGGCCTGCCCTGGCACAATAAAGGGCCTCTAAAGTCACCCCTGGAGAGGGATAATTTGGGGACATCGCTGCTCCATTAAGCACTGTCTGAGCTCAACAAGCCGGTCAGGTTCTACCCAGTAGGACCTCCAGGCTCGGTGTCCAGCTTTGGAATCCAGCTAGCCCTGACCCCGGCCCCAGCGCCTCCACTGACTTGCTTTGCAGCTTACGCGAGGCACTTGGGCTATCGAAGCCTGTTTCCTGGCCTGTGAAATGGTGCACGCGAGGCCGCCCAGAGCGTGGGCTCAAGGGAGTCAGAGTAGGATCTCGCTGAACAGAGGGTGAATTGCTCATCTATGAACCGCAGAGGTTCTTCAGGGGCCAGGGAGTCACTGCCACCCCACCCTGTCCTTGTGACAGGGAGACCCCAAGGCTGACCCTCACCTCCCTTCTCTCCTCAGGACCTACTTCCCATTTTCCTGCTCTTGGCTGAATCAGCTGGCGGCTGTGGTTTCAAAATGGTGAGGCGGGAGAGGAGGCGGGGTGCAGTCTCCCCATAAAGACTCGCACTGCCCCTGTTCTTTGTCCCCCCTTCTCATCACTGCCTTTGCCCCCCACCATTCCCCCTTGCCCAGGGTCATCATGAGGAAAAGTCTGATCCGACACCTGGAGGAGCGAGGGGTGCAGGTGAGGTCTTGACTGCCACTCCCACAGCTGGTCAGGCCCTACCCAGGGCCTCCCACTGCACGGAGGTAGCTCCCAGAGGGGCCCTGAGCAGGGTTCCAACTACTGCTGCCAGCTAGCTGGGTCGCCTCACCTTCTGAGTCTCTGTTTATGTGTAAAACAGGGAGGGTGGTGTATTTAACCCTTCTGGATACAGAACTGTAAGGGCTCCAAAAATTACAATGATGATGAGGAATTGAACCAACCCATGGCCTGGCCCTGATGAGGACTCAGGGAAAGCCCAGGGGAGGGAGGAAGCCAGCCCAGCCCGCTCCTGCTTCTGTGGACATCAGCTTTCACAATTAGCCGGCCTTTGTCGAGAATGTTCCAGACACTGTCTGTGGTACTGGGGATGGGAGTTTGACCACCAAGGGCGACAGAGGGGCCAAGCAGCAGTGCAGGGATCGTACAGCCGGACCCAGGTTCGTTTCTTAGGGCCACCCTGTCAATGCTAAAGCTCTGGTGTGTGCTGTGACTCAGGTCTGAGACTGGGGTAGATGGCAGCCTGAAGACCCTGTCGGGGAACCTCTTTCTGTCTCTCTCTTTCTTCCTCTGACCTTCTCTCATGGAAAAAATAAACAAGAAACATTAAAAAAAAAAAAAAAAAAAGGCAGAGGGAAGAAATGCAGCAAGCCACGGCGAGGACAGTGAGTAGACAGGAAATGGACTGTTCCTGTGGTCAGTGGGGTCAGAGGCCTGCTGCATGCAGTGAGGTGGGAGCCATATGAAGGACGGGAGGAGGGTGCTCTCGGGGAGGAAGGAGGAGGAGCGGCTACAGCCTGGAGTCAGTGGCCAAGAGGAGCTCAAGGAGCAGCAGAGCAGAGGCAGGCAGGCCCGTGGGCCCAGTCAGGAGTGTGGACTGCAGCCCAATGGGAAGAGAAGCGTCTGAGGATCTTGAGTAGGGGAGACACTGGATCCTGCTGAGGGTCCATGGGTCACACGGGCCGCCCAAGTGGAGAAGAGGTTGGGGGGGCCCATGTGGGTGGAAAGGTTAACTCACAAAGAGAGGCCAGTACTTGGCTGCCGACTGGATGTGGGGCCAGGGAGGCACGGGGATGACAGAGCCCTTTCAGAGCAGGTCTCTCACTCCTTGGAGCTCACCATAGCTCTGTGGGGTTGGACCACAACCCTCAGTTGTCAGATTGGCATCGAGAGGTGCAATGACTCGTCTGGATAGAATACCATCTCCACCTGCCTCTGCCGACAGGAGAACACTGGGCAAGGCAGGACTTGGGGCTGGTGGAGAGGGTTGGGGTCTGGTAAATGCTCACCACGGGCTCTCTGGGAGGAGCAAAAAAGTCACAGTGTAAGCGTTAATTTTCCTGGTTTAAATACTCTCATTGGCTGACTGTTCAAATCCTGACCCTGGTGGCTTGAAAAACATGCCAGGTGCACATGTGTGGGTGTTCAAAATCTTGACCCGATGGGGAAATGGAGGAGGGGTTGCGGCATGACCAGGCCTGGTTGGGAGGTGCTTTCTCCCTGTCCCTCTCTCTGTGTGTCTCCCTGGTAAGCACATACACCCTCTGGCAATTTTTATAAATAAAAATAAATAAATACTCCTACCTTGGTCAGTCTCAGGTCACCAGCACACAGTCACTGTGTGCAGAGCTGGGAGATGCGTGGCAGCTCACCATTATGTGGCACCCCCGCTTAGAGTCAGCAGACATAAGTGACCTCGGGAACACAGGGAGTAGTAAAAGCTAGTCAAATAATTAGTAAGTGACATGCTTCTATAAGAATGATTTATTTTATTTTATTCATTCTTATTATTTTTTCATTTGACTAGAGAGAGAAAGGGAAAGTAAGAAAGCTAGCCACCTGGTCCAGGACTTGAACTACAGCCGGCCACATGAGAGTCCAGAGCCTTAACCAGGACATCACCTATTGGAACCAGGAAGTGACTAGTTTTGAGTAGTACTGTTTTCTTTCTTCTTCTTCCGTGAGTGAGAGGGACAGCACCCCCACAGGGTCCTGACGCTGGGATCCACGCCAGCCTCAGCAGCCCTCCATTATGGGCACACATGTGCCCGGCATGCTCAGGGTCTCGACGTGAACCTGGAAACTTCTCATGTGGTTCAGCCTCACAGGCGGTCTCCTTTCCCTCTGGCCCCATGTAATTTAATTTTTAATAATAACTGTGTTTAATAACCCGTTTGCAAAATTCCTGAAAGTTTAACAACCAGTTCCAGCACACCACTTGCTGGGAGGTCTCCCTATAGGAGAAGGGGGTGCGCCCACCACGTGGATGTGAGAGCGAGGTCCAGGTAAAGTTGTGTGGAAACTACAAGTCCCTCTCTCCCTGTCAGGTGGTATTCTGGTGCCTCAATGAAGAGTCGGATTTTGAAGTGGCTTTTAACCTGGGAGCCACTGGCGTCCTAACTGATTACCCCACAGCCCTGAGGCGCTACCTGGACAACCATGGACCAACTGTCCGGGCCTCCTAAGCCCAGAGACCCTCACCTTCTTCCCTGTTTATCTTCCCCCAAAATAAATACTTTCTTTTCAGTCCCATCGTTGTGTTTGGGGTAAGGGGTGGGAGAATGGGTCCTGGAAGATTGTAAAGATGGCGGCTTAGGGCAGAAGATGCTGGCTGGGGGGCCAGAGCCTGGGCTCAAACCAGCCTGACCCACTGGTTTCACTACATTCCAGACCAGAGTTACCACACCCTGGGCCAGCCTGGTCTCCACTGTCCTCAGGAATGTCCCGTGCAGGGCCAACCCAGGTGTCCTGGGCCTGAGAGTCTCTGAGAGCCACAGATAATTATTCTATTCTCTTGAGGCTGTTAAGAGTCCCAGGGACACAGCAGAGGCCTTGACTTGCCCCACCCCCTTCACTCCCCCACCGGTCTCTATGGGGCTACAGGGATGGGACAGCTGAATTCACAGAGCCCATGTCTGCCCCTGCCACACCAGCCTTCCATGCCCAGGTCTCCCCACACTCCTCAGCTGTCTCCAGCCCTGGTACCTTATTCACTTAATGATGTATTCATAAACATTTATGGAGTGCGCACTCTAGGCCAGGTTGGGCAATAGAGACATTGCTTGAAATGACAATCTAAGTATTGCAGACATGTGCTTAAGCAGACATTTTCCACTGCATTCAGACCTAACCCAGCCTGGAGACGAGGGGCATCAGAGGAGGCTGCCTGGAGGAAGTGAGGCTCAACGGCAGGGATTGGCTTGTTGGTCTAACGGGTGGGCACCGTTAGCTCTTCTCTTTTAGAAGAGTCTGCCCCTGGTGTTACGGCAAGGACCAAATGGACTCGACCAAACGGAGAACTCCAACTTTGTCTCTAATCCGCCGGATAACCTCAGGAGAGCTGCTAGACCTCTCCGGGCTTCAGTTCCCTGGTAAAATGGAGACAATAGGCGCAACTGCCTTATAGGATTGCTGCACAGATTAAGAGAATGGGGCACAGGCAGTGGGTAAACGCAGATAATTATGATGACTATTATTTCCGGAGGGTGTGCGCCCAAACACCATTCTCCTCCTACCTGTACACTGGGGCACGCATCTCACATCCTTGCCCTTTCAAGGGCCACGGGCGGCTAAATTAGGGGCCACCAGGCCGGGGATGCGGCGGGCCAGCAAGCTGGGGTT